AAAAAAAAAAAAAAAAAACTATTGTAACCTATGGAGACTCTTAAGCACTGAAGATGAGCTAGAAAGTTAACCTGGCTCGAAATGCATCTGTAAAAAAGCAATAAAAGGAGTTTATAACCTGAATTGGCTGTGAGGTAGTCTACTGGAGGTTTTTTTTTTTCAGATTGAAGAGACGTTACTTAATTAACTAAATTAGACTTGTTTACTCTTAAAGTTATGTGAATAAAATCAATAAAACATAAAACAAACATTTATATATATATATATATAATACAGAGCTCTGGGGACTTAGATTACTTAGAAAAACAGTCTTTTATATCCTGAAATTGTAGAAGACTTCACTAGAGCACAATTAATTGTTACCACACTGCACATTGACCACCTGAAATGGTTAGAGGAGATGGAAATTTTTAAGGCATATAACACATCCTCTTGCATTAATACAAGAGACGAGATTGGCCTTTCCATGGCATGGCAAAACTTACTGTAAACGGAGTGATAGTATTATACTATTTATTACGTGGTAAAGAATAAAGAAAAAATTACTGGGGAATATGTGAGATCATTATTAATTATTTATCTCACTATCACGTATGTTATGTATTTTAACCAGGGCTGTGGAGTCGCGTAAAAATTTATCGACTCTGACTCCGATTTTTCCTTACCATCCGACTCCGACCAGGGCGGATTTGTTACTGAAAGAGACCCGGAAATTCTGATATCATCATGTGACCTCAGAATAAAAGATTCAATAAATAGAGATCTAATAAAGATAGAACATAGAAACTTTTTATTCCAAAGCTAAAAGACTTCTCTAAGTAATATATAAATATGTATTCGATAATTTTTACTTTTCCGGCTGTTATATAATATAACACAGGAAAAGTGTAGTGCTTGGTCAAAAAAATGACCCCTCCCAAATTTTTATATTTTTGGACTCGGGACACCATAAAATTTCGAGATATGCAAAAGATTCGACAATTTTTCTATATGTGTGGATGTTAGATTGTGTGGGGGGCAGT